GGCTTGTGCGCGGCGGTAGTGATTTTTTTTGACTAGTGTTTTTGTCAGGAGTTCAGGGTGAGCCGTCAGGTTTGTGGATGGCCGTGGTGCTTTTTTTCCCCCAGAGCAGGCCATCTTTTGGGGAACGTGGTGTTTGCCCAACCATGGGCTGTATTTCGACGTTTCAGTATTCTTTATGCAAGCTGGTAATCTCTGTGAATGTAGCATTGCTTTCTAGGTGATGTTCGGTGTCGGTTTCATCTCCCTCTACTCAATGTCAAAGTAATTTTACTATGTAAAACTATTCCTATATGGATAATAGGGCACTGTATTTAAAATGTTTTACGAAAAGTCTTTAGTCCTCTTGCTGAACAGATTTCTAAGAACATGAAATGAAACATGAATGAAACTACAGACAAAGCACAAATAGGCCAAGACAGTGGAATAGAAAGGAAATCTGTTATTTTGTCTCATATTCTTGCTACACAGTGTGGTTTGCAAGCGGATTTGCCAGTCGTTTAGTGAATTTTTCAGCGTGTCTTTATGATCAGAAGAGGTACTGCTAAGCAGTGTGGATGTGAGATGGTGGAGATACAGGTTACTGTATGCTGAAGTTGCCAGGCGTGCGTGTTCTTTACGCTGCCTTTCTTGTGAAGCAGAGATAATTGGCATGCTTGCATACGTTTTTATTAAGTGGATGTATGCTGCTCTGCAGTTAAGAGTGAGGAATAATAATTTGCTACATGCTGTTGGATTGTACCTCACTAAAGGAAAAAGTTTTTAAATTGCTTAAAATTTTTTTGCAAGAAAGGAAGTCTTTAGTTCTGACCTCTCATTTTTGAGGGTTGTGAGAGGAAGATATAGGTAACTTAAAGTCATAGTGTAGGTATTGATCATCTTTCTGCTTTGAAGATGTGGGATTACAGTAGACAGGGTTCAGTAGATAAGCAAACTACTATATACATTATTTTTATACTTCAAATTTCAGCAGAAGGTACATCATTACCTGCATTTTTTCTGTATAGCTTTGGCAGAAAAGGCAGAAAGGTAAATTTTAGAATTTAGAAAAATATCACAGCCTCCCTACCTCTTCCAAGCTTTAGAATGCAAACATGAAAATGTAAAATGGTATATGGTTTTTTTGAAATAAAACCTTTATCAAGTGGGGAAGATTACCGCTTCTCCCTCCCCTTCCCTCCTCCCCTGCCCTTGTTGAGTGCTCTGCCTACTGAGGCTGGCTCAAGATGGAGAAGTAAGGGTGCTACTTGAATCAGTTATAATCCATTAATTATTAATCTGCTATAGCGCTCATAACTAAAAGCCAGTGAATAGATTTTACAGTCAGTAAGCTTTCTTCTCTATTTACGTAGTCTGCTATTGTTACAGTGTACTGGAATAAGTATTTCTGTCTTCAGACAGCCAAGAATTTCTTACAGAGAAATTGTAGCTACAACTACTTCTGGTCACATTGGCCATAGTGTTTGCCAATGAGCAGGAAAAATATAATTACGTCCTTCCAGGCCCCTCACTTTTTGATAAATAAGTGAAAAACTTTAACTATTGCTTATTGGGCTAGGTTTTCAGAATAAATTTTTCTCTTAAATTATCATCTTTGTAAGTAATCCATAGTGTATTATTTAACCCATTGTAAGGATAAGTATTAATTCAAGAATTGGATTGTCAAACACCTGTTATATTTCAGTGCCTCAAATAAGTAATTTCTGTCATGACTCTAAACTGATTATCGCATATGTTTAGTCTTAACAGGGGTTTTACTGAAATGCACTGTATGAGTGGCCACTCAAATTTTGTATCTTGTGTGTGCATCATACCTCCAAGTGACCTGTATCCTCGTGGGCTGATTGCAACTGGTGGCAATGATCATAATATTTGCATTTTCACAGTTGACAACCCAGCTCCTCTTTATGTCCTGAAGGGCCATAAAAACACAGGTATGTAGTAATTTTGTTTTAGAGTTTGTTGCATAAAAGTTTTTATGATATGCTGGAGAGGAAAATAAGTTGAAGTTGTAAAACTGTATGTTGAATTCACTGGTATTTTAATATATTGAACTGTTTAACTACAGTCTCTACAAATACGATTTTATAATTTCAGTTCATGCAGTTCCAGTCAGTCGCAATGACTTCCTAGTTTGCACTATGAATGTATGATCTTTTCCTGTATAAACTCTCTATATATTATATCACATGCCAACTTACAGGCGTAGCAGAATGATGTTCATTTTGTCAAGAGCTTCATGTTTAAGAAGCAATCCATTTAGTCTGCTCTACAAGCCGTGTGTTTTGTTAAGCATAATTCTGTATCTAAACTGATAGCAGTAGCAAGAGTGAGTTTCCTAAACAGATAAAGAAACTTTCACTCTCTGGTTACTCAGACGAGGATCTAATATTAGTTGATGCTCTAGATACGTAATGAAGTCTAAAAGTACATTGCAGAAATTTTCCCTCTCTTCATTCTGGTCAATGCAGCATGTGATGTTTAACACGGTATTACGTACCCTTCCTTGAGCAATATAATAAAATATTCTGCATTTTTCATGTTAGCATACTAAATTCTTTTTTTGTGAGCTGATCTAGTATTTGATACACCTTTGAATGGTCTATTCTCATAATTATAGAATGCAAAATTTATTATTTCAAGTTTTGGACTCTTTTTCTGCTTTCTTATATCATTATATAAGATGGCAAGAAATAGCTTATGTACTTGGATGGGAAGCTGGGATGGGGGTGAGTCAATAACAGAACATGTGACATGCTCCCCCCAGAGTTGTAAAAAGGGATGAGGGTGTTCTAAAGAGGTTATGTACTGCCCCCTGCAACCTAACAATGAAATGTTTAGAAATAATTAAATTAATTTTTACAGTACTGTGAAGCTCAGATTAATCATAAATCTACTTTAGAAATGGGAAAAACTAGGGCATGAATAATTATTTTGTTTGATGACAAGGCTGGAATACGATCCAGTTCTCACTACTGCATCACAGAAGCAAGACACAGAAGGCTGTACTCTTCTTTTATGAAAGTCGGGTGGACCATATACTCTGCTCATGATTTAACTGCTTTTGTGAAGTTATTGGTTATTAGAACTTTATTTAGCACTATAGCGGTTTTATAGCAGCGTATTACTGGAGCATTTGCAGATTATTATTTGTTAAATAAATCTTTGAATTTAAGCACTATTTCTCAGTAAAGTATTTTGCCTTCCAAGAAGATGAGTTGAATACTTTGCTATGAAGTCTTGTTTCCTGAGGACATAAATTAACACAAATTGACAAAATCTTGGCTTTCTCATTAATCTTACAAGGAAATTGTTGTATTAATTCTCTGTCTTGACTGATTTTTTTGCCCTGCTTGTCAACTTATTCTTAATTAAAGGAGGAAAGAATGGGTGCTAAGAGAAATTTAGCTGCTAAATAGAACGCTGCTAATAGAACTAAATCTCCTTAAATGAATCTGCTTAAATTACAAGTCTAAGATTGCTGATAATGCAGGAAACATATCAGTGTTGATTGGCACCTTCATTTCAGTTTGCAGCCTTTCATCCGGGAAATTTGGCACGTTACTAAGTGGATCATGGGATACAACAGCCAAAGTGTGGTTGAATGACAGATGTATGATGACATTACAGGTATGAAGTTCTGCGTGAGTATTAAACAGATGCTTTATGAATTTAATTTTGTCAACAGAAATCAACAATGTTGGTTTTTTTGCAGGGTCACACAGCTGCTATTTGGGCAGTGAAAATACTGCCTGAACAGGGATTAATGTTGACTGGTTCAGCTGACAAAACTATTAAACTGTGGAAGGCAGGCAGATGTGAAAGAACATTCACTGGTAAATACTGTTGCAGTTGGTAATTTCATAGATGGTCACATGTGCTTTTTATAAACAAAAATTTCAAAAAAATCCTGAAGCCTCTGGTAAATTTTCTTCTTTTTTTTTTTCTTCCTTTTACAAAGGTCATGAAGATTGTGTGAGAGGTTTAGCTATTCTCAGTGAAATGGAATTCCTTTCCTGTGCGAACGATGCTAGTGTCCGAAGATGGCACATCTCTGGCGAGTGCCTGCAAGTGTATTATGGACATACAAATTATATATATAGCATATCTGTCTTCCCTCAGTGTAAAGGTAAGGTGGTTTTTTGTGACTATTACCCAACATTCTTCCAAAATAAAATGGCAAGGTAGACATT